TAACTAACAATAATAACACATAGAATATATAGTATTTTCATTGTCTGATGAATGGAAGAAATCCACGAACTTAAAGATAAACCAAATTGGCAAGACAAATGCTTGTACTAAAATGCATTCAGTAATTTTTATACGAAGTTGTAACGCAAAGTATAAAGTACAAGAAAAATCAAGTTTATGGTGAGCGATCAAGATTACAATACGCTTTAAGCTTTTCCAACAACCATCAAGGTTCAGATGCTTCGACCCTCGGTGGGTCGACCTCAGAGAGGAGAAGGGATCTCAAAGTTCCCCGGACGAGGAGCGGCTAACGCGCCCGCCACCAAGTTGCCAGTGGCCTTTCAGCATCGGGGCCTTGAGCAAATCTTAGTGGTATAGTTAAACATCACAATCCCAAAACAGTACTCGGCTGTGGGTACTCTGTCCTGGCTTACAATGTTCGAAATGGGGGTCTTCTTGTCGGGGGCAGGTCTGGGTTAATGTTACATTCCGGTGATAGGATGTACTTGACTTAGACCTTGTGTCAGAAAAGGCTAGATCTAATAAAACTTACAGCTTTGATCATTCTGTATCTCAGTCTAAAGTTCTTCATCTATAGTTTCAAGTCCTTGAACACCAGGAAAAAAGACCAGTGTTTCAAAGTCATAAATTAACATTAAAATTTAAACAGTATTTAAGCCTTATTAATGAGATTTATTGCGTTGAAAATCTCGAGTTCATCGAAAAAGTTGCAAGTTTATCGTATTCTTCAAATATCAGTTTGAAAACTTCTTCCTTCTTTGGGAAAGGGTATACGGATAATTTGAAACTTAATAATCGTGTTTCACAGTACTTTTTAACATAAAAACACTACTTTTTTAAATGTATCACTTTTAATGTATAAAATAAATTCCCAATATCTTAATATCACAACAAATTTAAATGAAGAAAAACGATTAATGCAGAAATGATAGTTATTTTGCATGCATTTTGTTTCTATATATCATTTTCCTAAGAATATTTTGCTTATTTGCTTAACGTTTAGCATGTTATTTAGATTTTAAGTTTTTTGCTTTTCATCATTTCGAAGTGACAATTATATAAAATGTAAAACTCCTTTGAAATTCATGTTTAAGGGGTTACGATGAAAAAATGGGATGGGGAGGGGAGAAAAAGAAAAAAATACCTAAAACGATTTCAGATTTTAACAGTCACTCAAAAGGGATCTCCTAAAGATTAATATAGTTTATTAGTGCAGATAGCAACATAGATGGCTCCAAAACATTTTAAAGGATACTAGATAAATATACACTTAGACTAATACAAGAAAGTTATATATCTTATATATAATTGAAAAGTAAAAATATATGTAATGTAATTCTATAAAAATATTTATATTTTTAGTTAGATTTATCTTGAATAAAATGCATTTTTATTTAAATCAGTCAGATTCAAAAATAATTAAAAAACACAATATTCTTAAGAACTGCATACATTGCTTTTAAACAGCTTAGTTTGTTAAGCCCGAACAGAGAGCTTCAGTTTGAAAAATAAATATCTGGCGAATGACAGCTGACTCGAATGAAAAGTGAAACTACGCATTTGCAGTGGACGACATTTAAAGTGAACAAACGCAAAATAATATTTCGAGATTAAAACCATTTTGAGCGAAAAAAGACTCAAAACATAATAAACAGCATTTAAAATAAGGGTTTACTTGTGCAATAATCATTTTCTACTATTCTAAAAGTAATTTAGTTTAGTGGCAGTAGGAAATATATTTATGTTCTAAATAACAAAAATAAGATCACTAGACCTAACTTTTTTATCATATTCAAAGTAAAATAATAAGAGGTAATCTTCTGAGCAATGTTTCTAATGCATGCATTTTTAAAAGCTCCAACAAATATACCAGAATTTCGCAAAAAGCAAGACCACGAAACAATAATTATTCTTTCTTATCAGCAGATGCAAGAAGCTATTAACACGTTTAGATAGTGGCTTGATACAATTGTGATTTAGTAGCTACTCATGCATCAATCAAGCGTCTTGTCTTTTTATTTATTTTTTTTACTTTGTTAAGTATTGCAGTTTGCATTTCTTCGTTTCATTTGCTGCTTTTTCCTTATATAAATTCTTGACTTAAATGCATATAGATGGTTTCTGAATTTTACTTTTTAATACGTGAGTATGGAATACTTCTATCTTATATAAATATTCGATTTTTCTAACAGATGTCTTTCCAATTTCACTATAAAGCCGCCGGAGGCTAATAATAAGAATTTAATTTTCCAATCACCTCCAGCGTTGCAAAAATAACACTAGATTTCTTTATCTTAAAACTAAATAATTACACGGTGAGTCACAAATATGGCTATATGTTTGAAATAAATGTAGTCAACTGTAGAGCAAAATGGTATTTGGTATATTAAACTTGAGACATTATTTTTACATTTCAAATGCGAGTTATATGCCAGAGATTACCTCATTAGCTTCAATAGCCCTTAACATGCAGGTACAGGTAGCAGCTTAGCCAGCACATCTGTCACATTCAGATATTGCTAAATCTAGCTATCTGTTAAGCTTCCAATTTTGAGGAAGAACACATCGAGAGGAATTCCGGGGGTCTCCCACTCCTCTTTCCCTACCATCAACCTTTACAGACATCTTTCGGCTCATCGTGTATTTTGGGTGCCCCTTTGCCGCACAGACACTATACGCTTACAAACATCCATGCTTTCTCCGTGATTCGAACTCAGGCCAATCGGTAATACAGTCAGCGTTATTAATTAACCCGTATATCGAATGGACGGCCTGCGCTAAGCATGCAATAGCAAATTACAGTTATATTGTGGACTACTGCATACCGGAATGATCGTGAAGTATTGAGACCGGTGATGGAGGTAACATAGCATTGTTACCACCGCCTATTAAAAAGTAGATAAAACTTATGCTTAAACCGGAGAACATTTAGAAAAGAAAATTTCTTGAAAAGACTCGCAGTAATGCTGAAGCAAAAAACAGCATTTGTGGAATGCAAGCTAAGATAATTAATAATGTTTGTGGGATCCTGAATAAGATAAAATTACAAGAACCCCTAGATAAAAAGAAGAAAGTAAACCTACTCAGTTGTATTCTTCAGCTTGGTAAATTCACTTCCGAGGGGCACTATATCATTTCTCGTATCTATAACACTGTCGACATTTGTCATAAAATGGCTTAAATGTAAATATCTATCAGTATGTATACATGTATAATTATATAATTATAAACATGTTATAAAAATTTTTGAAATGCAAAGTTATATATATATATATATATATATCTTTGCATCTATCTACCTATGTATATATATATATATATATATATCTTTGCATCTATCTACCTATATACATATATATATATCTTTGCCCTATCTATCTGCATCTATCTATCTAACTATCTATATATCTATATATATATATATATGTAATGTACCAGCTTTTGTCCGGCATAAATCGAATGGTGAAGAATCATAAATGTAGTCGTAGCTTAAATTATCAGACGACAAGTTTACAAAACAGGATCCATTTATTATTATTCAGGAGAAAATAGCAGTTACAAAATCAGATATCCGGAGTAAATAAAAAGAATTACTAATAACTTTTTTGTATGAAGTTTACTGCATCGTGACATTTAAGAAAAGCCCCCGATATTCTTTTGCGAGTCCTTTTATAGCCTCTGGAAAGGCGGAACTTCCAAGAAATGACGTCAGCCTCGTTAGCCAATCCAGTTCGCTTTAAATATTTCCAGAACATTCTATTACTGTACGTGTAGAAAAGGCGGGAAAAACAACTTGACTACGGGGCTGTGGATTTAAATCCACGTACTTTCAAATAAGAGAACGTCGCCATTAAAAATGAAAAGAACATACAGTTAGAATTTTATTATTACATACATATATCTTTGTTATATATATATATTTATATATAGTTAACTAAAACTATGAATGGGTTTACACTCAAAATATGAATAAATATAAACAAGTTATATTTACCTCAAAATATGAATGGGCTTACATTACTTTAAAACAGTTTAAATAAATTTTGAATAAAACATTTGCATGGAATGAGTACAGGACTATGCATGCTTATGTATGTATATATGTAAATTGAGCACAGGTCTATGGATATTTTATGTAAATATATACAATAAAACATGCATAGTCCTGTACACATTCCATGCAAATGTTTTATTCTAAATATATTTAAACTGTTTTAAATTAATATAAACCCCTTCATAATTTGAGTTAACCTTGTTGTTTCAATACTTTATAAAAGATAATGAAATTTTATGATGATTAACACCATTTCCAAATGCATTATGTCATCTGAAATATTCCATTTTGTTTGGAAGAAAAAAGTCTGCAACGTAAGCTATATAAATATATTTTGTAAAACTGTAAATTGTTCATTTCTATGAGCGTCTGTGGTGCAGCAGTTAGCGAAACGGAATGATTATTCTGAAATCTGTATTCTACTCCATGGGAGAGTTGGTTTCCAAATTATTTTTCCCATTCAAATTTCTATTCTTTTCACAATATAACGTCATTCTACAACATGCTTATATATCGTAATCCATTCGAGCAGCTAAAGATGCCAGCGTTAAGATTTATTATACCACAAGTTAAATCAATTAACACTTTACTCGCTACTTTATGATTATAAATTATTACAAATTGTAATAACTTCTAATACTGCTCATTCTCAAACATCCCACAATCCTTCTTAAAATCCATAAACGTTTGGGAAGAGGACCCCGGAGGCGAAGCGTTGAACTGTGATATTTAAAGCAGCGCAAAAATGTTTCAAAAATTCTTCTCCCGATCTCCAATTAATGCTACCGTACCATTTGCTCGAGTTTTTCCTCCACTTCTCAGGCCTAGGATTAGACATCAATTCCCAAGAGTTTCGTGACGATTTCCTCAATCGTTTTGACTAGTCTGGTATGGGATAATTCCTTTCCAAGATGATCGGTGGCTGTTGGTCCAGATACTTCAGAAAGTGCAGTTCAGTTGTTCCGAGCGCTAGTTAGTTCCATTTCGACTCGTGAACGAGAGAAAGTGAAATCTCAATAAGCTACCTTTCTGTCTCCAACATGTTGGAATAAGTGCATACATACATCTAGCAAACAGAATTTGGGTAAGTGATACTTTGTTTATCAACTGATTTATTCTTTACTTCTATCTTAAAAGTAAGTAAAATAAAGCATAATTTGCTCAGGAAACTCCCGTTTTATATCTCGGCAATTTGAAGAGAGATTTCTTTTATAGAAATGAAGTATATTAAATAACTAAGAAAGTGAGCAGATATGAATTCACATGTCACGCCTTTTCTGGAATTGTTTAGGTATCAGCATTAAAATTTAATAATTATAAATGGAAGTAAAAGTGAATATACAAATTTTTAAAACAAATCACTTAGTTTGACTTTTAAATCAGTTTCATAGTGTAACGTAAGAAATGTTACAAGATATATAATTAATTAAAAAATACTATGAAGTTTTGAATACGGGAAAATTATTGTTATGCATACTGCCTTTTTATCTGCAAATAATACAATGAAGCTAGTTATTACTTATAAACTACTTTTACTAAAAAATAATTGCATAAGCTAAACAAAAGACTACTTTTACTAAAAAATAATTGCATAAGCTAAACAAAAGACGAAAATAATTTTTAATCCGTTTTTCAGTCCATTTTTTTCCATTTATAGTTGGTTCTGTCAATAGCTGTCTTTATAATTTGCCATTAAAAATAAAAATAAATAAATTAAATTAAATCTCTTTTCACTCTGTATTATTTGTTTAGCATAAGCAATTGTTTAGCAAGCATAAGCTGCACTTTTATGGAAATTTTGAAATTTACTGTAAGAAACTTTTAAAAACTTGCAACTTATTGATTTCTTTAGTTAAAAATGCTTCACTTCATTCAGATTAGGAGTACGCAATATGCTGTAAAATTTAAAAATTTATTCCCTGTTAATATTTACCTTATATAAAATTAGTGGATAGAAAAATACGAATAAAAAAATTAAGATTTTCTGATTCATTTTGGCTATTTCATTAGTTCATTTTGGCTGTCTGCCTAAGGAGAGATACTTTCATGGACGATTTTCTAAAGGAAACTGACTCGTAATCACGTTACACATGGAGAAATCAACAAAAACGCCCATGCAGCCAGCCCTTTCACCGAAACCGAATTTAGAGCGCGGTCCGACTACCAGCGTTCAGCGACTTCTACGGCCACTGATGGACTCGATCCCTAACTGAACATGTTTTGCGTTGTTATTTTGCGAAAATCTGGAAATTTCTTGCGTTGGTTATATGCAAAATTTCATAAATAGAATGCTATGTTTCACTTAAAAATAATCTACATTATTAGTTTACTGACAATTTATTTTAAAAAGTAGATTCACATCAGTTATAAATAATTTATGGATTGTAAATTTACCAGCACGGCTACAATCGTCACCAGCTTTTCCGATAGTCCTTTTCTCCGTAATTTGCTCTTTCGACCCTTTTTATTTACACCCGAAATCTCTACACGCTATATGTAAATTGCTTTTTGAATTATTTTGTCATATTTCGTAAATTTATAAGTAGCCTTAAGTTTATTTTCTGCATTTTGTACTAATAAAATATATTAATAAGATTTCACCAGTATTCGCAAATATCTGCAGGGAATTTTAATAAGATTGCTTAAATATATTTTCTCTCAAATGACTGAAGCATGCGCCAGTGGTTCTAGTTTAAGTAATGAATCAATTGCGGTAAGCTTATAGATTCCATTAATTTTTCTCTGGTGATACATCTTAACAAAAGTATGCGAAACTCTACATATATCTTGAAGCCTTATAAGTGTGAAGGAGAAAAATATTTTTCACAGCCAAATTAATCAAATCAAATGATATCCGTATTAGGATCAAGATTACACTAATATCTGATTTACAAAAATCAATTAAAATTTCGAAGAGTCATATAAAAATATTATCACAGACTACTAAATGTTATTAGGCATGCAAAATTTCTGAAAGCTAATTTCTATAAAATACCTTTTAATTAAGTGAATAATTTAATAACTAATTACGTTAGAAATAACGGTTTTGAATTACCAAATTACATGGGTAAGTTATAATTTGTAATTATGTATTTAATGGAATTCAGTTTCGTACAATCCCTATATAACTAATTTTCCATCTCCTGAAAATTACTAACATTGTATAACTCTGACATATCTTTTGGGACCAATACTGTACATTTCATATTGACTTTTCCCCCTAAAAGTTCTTTTAGAAAAGGAAGGTACTTACACTAATTATAACTTTCTTCAGTGAGAGTATATATGAATGAAATTCTAAGTTTGATATAGTGTACTTAAAGATGCTAAGTGGCAAAATCATAATAAGCTTAAAACCAACATTATTTGAATTGTTTATTAAATTGGAGCCATATTCCTATGATTAATCATTCAATAGTTAGATATTCGTGCAATATCTTTGAATCACCGTACATAAAGCGTAATTTAAGTTTTTTCAAATCTAAAATTACCTTTACAAGCAAGAAAGTAAAGGTTTAGACTCTAATTTGGATGATTTCCGTTTTCTCTAATCCCTAACCTGTTAAATAATTCTGAAAATATTTAAATTGATTTTGATGTTTTAGCTTCGAAGTCATATAATAAATGGTACGATGATAACGTAATCTGCTGTTTTTTTTTTTTTTTTTTTTTTTTTTTTTTTTTTTCAATAATCGTATCAAGCTATAGTATATTCCTCATGTAAATTACGTCTATAAGATTTACTATTTACGATGCTTTCATGTGTGAAATTAGTAAATGTTACATTTCAAAATATATGTAAATGTATAAATTCTATTTCTATTAGGAGAAAGTTTTAGTTCGTAAATCAATGGTCATTTAACTGTGTCCTGCGGAACTCCCTTGGGTTCTGCGCAACAGCTTCGAAGCGGTAAATCTGCTGAACACCGGTCGGTCGACATGGATTCGATCTCAGGCGAACGGGCTGGCTACATGGGCGTTTTCGCGGTTTTCCCCGTGCGAAATGTGAATACAAGTCAGTTTTCCTTAGAAAGTCCTCCACAAAGACATTCATTCCCTTAGGCAGATAATCCTAGTACGCTTTGCCGTAACTGAATAAACCAAACATTTAGAGGTTCCACAAGTTAAAATCAAAGTACGAAAGAACATTTCAGCACCACGTAAAAGAAAATTTAAATTTCTAAACTAATTGAATTATAATATATTTATTTTGATTGCAGTTATTACTTAAAATGGTAGCATAAAATAAGTGTGTTTTACTCTATACATTTCGAGATTCTTCAGTCAAGAATGAAACTCTATCCATTTTGAGAACGATCAGACACTGTTCTCTCTTCTTCAGAAGCTAAGACATTTCTGCTCTAGGATAATTTCAAAAGATAGCCCTGTAAATTTTAATCATTAAACAATAAACTCTCTCTAAACTAATAGTTAGGATAAGTTATTTGGAAATGGCAAGGTATACGAAGTCTATCTGCCTAAGAGAAGAGGTGCCTTCCTGGAAAACTTTCTAAGGAAAACTGATTCGTATTCACATTATACACACGTGGAAAATAACGAAACCTAATTATGCAATTAGCTCATTAGCCTAGATACGAACCCGGGTCGAACTACTATTCAGCAGCCTTACTGGTAAGATCAAATTGTCTTCAGGAAACTAAGAATATTTACTCAGAGTCGCCACGAGGCGATATTGGTGATCAGGTGCACTGAATTTGCAACGATTTTTTTTTTAATTGAATGCTTCTGTTAAATGCCAGAATGTACAAACGAAGGGATTTCCCCCACCCTAGAACAAGGAATGTGACTGACTACGCCTTCGCTGCGATACAAACCATGGATTATCTGACTGCTAGCTGGACATGCTCCAGTTATCCCACGAGAGATAGCATGGGGGGAGGGGATAATTCCGTATAAATTAAACTAATTTTTACAAGGTTCAGAGTTAAAACATTTAACATATTTTAGTTCAGAATCCAAGAGTTTCGAGTAAAAAAAAGTGCAGAGAATTTTTGAATTGTGCTTTAAAATCAAAGACCTTTTACGAACTTCGTGAAATTTGAATTTTCCATCTCAAGAAATAATGACTTTATTTTCATTTTCCATATAAAATACATGTCACAGTGATGCATTTTCAGTGCTTAGATAACATTTACTACATTGGCTATTGTAAATATTCAAGAAAATAAATAAATAAATAAAATAATAGTTCTGCCCTTTCTCTGAACGGACAAAATTTGAAGACTATCATAACTTTGTCGACGCAGAGAACGTCACATGTATTCAGCTTCAAATCATGTTACTAACACAAAGCTTCGAATGAAAAATAACTAATTTTGAATTCTCTCACCGATTACCGCAAACAGTATAAATTCAGATGTTATTACACTTTACCTTTAATTCTCGACTATTCATTCGATCTGAATTTGAATAGAAAAACATTTTAGCCTATTGAAATTCGCCTATTAGTTTACCTTTTATGCATTTAAGGATTTTGTTACGATGAGTAACTAGACACTTTTATCTCCAGACTTTTAGCACTGATATTTTTTCCTAAAAATTGTCATTTCCTATATTATCGCAGTCACACTTAATCAGGATTCACAAGCGAATGGTTAGGTTATTTAATTACGGCAAAGCCTCGAAGTCTAAGGGGAGGGATGCCTTCGTGGAGGACGTTCTACAGGAAACTGTCTCGTATACACGTTACACATGGGGAAAACCACGAAAACACCCATGCAGCCAGCCCGTTCGCGGGATTCGAACCTCGGACCGAACTACCAGTGTTCGGCGACTTTACCGCTCGGCCGCTGGTGGGCTAACACAAGCGAATGAGAAATTAAAACCACTGCCTTTGCGCTGGTAAATTCTCCCTAGTTTGATTTCTTACCGCAAACTGAGCTGTTTCTCACTTTGTCATTGTCTGATTCAATTTCAAACTGACTTTCCCATTTTGGTGTCCTGAAGTTGAGCGCCAGTGTTCAGCGACTTTACCGCTCGGCCGCTGGTGGGCCAATAATGTCTTGTGAACAACATATTACTGAAAATTCAAAGTTTACAAATTATGGAACGTATAAAATCAGC